CCAGTGCTGCTCTTCGCCGCCTGGGCTCCACGTGCGGGCCCATGTTTTCGCTTTTCTTTTTCTTGTTCGTTGCATTTGGGTCGCACGTGTAAGTTTTTGAGGTTCGGTGTTCTCTGTTTTCTGGTTTGTTAGGTAGGGTAGGTTTGTACAGAGGAGTGAGGGTTTGATACGCGCGGACATACGGATACGGATACGTGTATTATTTGTTTGTATAGGGTTTCGTATACTTTGTACCATCATACATTGTTGCCATTCTTTTTGTCATAGCTTATTCAATTCTTTTTTTTATTTCAAATAAAGGAAGCTTTCTTACACGTCTGCCGTTACTTATGCAGGTTTTATTAGGTCATCGCTAATTAATATATAGTTTTTATAAAGAGTTTTTGGAAAGAGAATTTATTCTTTTTTATTATTTTTATTTTTATTTTATATTCTTGGTGTATATTGATTTGGTTTCCATGCGTAAAACTAAATTTTATTTAAGAATTCAAAAAAATTGAGTTCTTGTAGGATAAAAGAAATAAAGTTGATCCATCGTAAAATTCACATAAAATGAATTAACTAGAAAACTTAATTTACATTCATAATTAATACTTGCTTGTAGTTTATTGATTTTTTTGGTTTTATATTTATATTTTTAAATTATCCATAAAGTGATAATATTTCGTATCAATATGATAGCAGCTGGTAAAAGGTACAAAGGGTGTACCTTAACCCTTTTACAAATGATAGGAAACATGGTAGCAGTATATCTATGATAATTCGACAAGACACTACTAGCCTGACACATTATTGTAGCCCTCAAATAAGCATGTATATGTCAGTACTAATTTTTGACAAAACAACAAAGACTAAATTTTTTGCCACTTCTCTTCCATTATGCAGCAACGAGACACAACAAGTTGACACTAATTAATTTATCGAGTTTTGGCCCCCCTTTAACATGTAACAATAGTATTGGAGTGACATAACAACTAACCTCACTCCCTTGAAATCGTTTATGATAATAGTAGCTATGACCCAAGAAAATAGGGTGCCCCTTAACCTCAAGTCTCCAACATAGTTACCTGTTGCATTAGTCCTAAATACATTGTCCAGGGTTGATACTCCATTGTGAGAAAGTGTACTTGAAAGATTTGTACAATATATTCAACCAAGACCAAGCAAAGAAAAGAACCTCTTTATTCAATTTATCAATATTTAAATTTTCCCCATCAAAGACACATGAGTTTCTATGTCTCCATAGACACCATGATGTAACACTCCAAATTACCCTCCATTTTTTACCTCAAAGTTAGACTGTAGCAATGCCGGTATGAAACAAAAGGTGATGGAATCATGCCTAGGAAGGCAAGAGGTGACATATTGAAGGAGCCAAGAGGAGTTGGCTAGACATGAAGGTTTGGGCCAGTCAGGGCCCAATGGGCCTGATGGGCCTGGGAAGGCCCAAGTTGAACTTTTCATGGGCCATATTTTGTTATAGCTATTTTCATATGTTTTGTATACATCATGTTAGTATAGGTATCATATATTTTGGTCTTGTATTTTGGACCACATAGAGTAGCATTTTAGGTTTTAGGCTAGTTGGGCCTAGTTTTGGGCTTCATGGGCCTTTGGGCTTTTGGTACCCAATATTGGGCTCATTTTCATTCTTGTAATTTTTCCTTTCCATTGTAATTGTTTGACCAATGTAATTAGGTCATTAGAATAGGAAAATACAAGGAATACTAAAGTATGCTAATTAGGTTAAATTAGGTTTAATTTGGAAGTCATTTAAGTTACATTTGAGTCACATGTTTAGCACCATGGGTGGCTGAACATGTGCCACTCAAATTAACCCTAAATGACTCTCAAATCACACCTAAATGCACCTTGGTACCTAAATTTTCGGACTTACACATGTGCACCAAAGTTTGAATTCAAAATTCAAATTTGAATTCAAACTTTAGGCGCCATTTTGTGAGGCTTTAGTTTAGGCACCTATGGGTCACAATTCCGTGCATACTTAAGCCATTCTTTCACCTTTTGTATTCACTTTGAACCTTATATGAAATTTGAGAGCTAAGAGCCGAATTTCCTTTTCAAAGTCTTCTTGAGATATCACCTCAAAAACCTAGGGAGTTCATCTTCTTCCTTCTCTTTGAAGTGAGTCTTTCATTGATCTTTGAGCTTGGATGCTTCCATCCAAGGCTTGAGCCTTCATCCATCCGTGTTCCTTCTTCATTCAAGCTCCATTTCGGTCGGTGTTATCTCCTTAAAGAGGATCCGTGGCTAGGAGGAGCTAAGGAGAAGAACATTCATCACTTCTCCCTACTTTTTCCATCAAAAGGGTTGCTCAATAAGATGTGGTAAGGGAGCAGGACAATCAATCCACCTCAGCCATTGTTTCCAAATAGCATCAGCTAATGGGCATGAGCATGTAATGTGGGGAGTAGATTCAACCTCGCTTTTGCATAATGCACACAACAACTCTTGTGATCCCAAAATAAATAATAATATCTCTGCTGACCAATAACAATATCTCTACATATCATGTATCCCAAAATCAAGGATTACATTATCAAGAATAATATATCTGTAAAAATATTTCTTTAAATCATGCAACATCATCTCTAAATCTAGAAATAAGATCAATCCCTTACATATGAGAAACACTAGACATATTACTCTAATCCTAAACTCATTCTTAATCTAAAATTTTCTCTAACATAAGTGTCGAAGTATCTTTGCAAGTACTTCTACTATCACAGATACTAGAGTAATCAGGACATCATCCTGTTGTTGAAGCACTTGTAAATTATAACAAGAACAATCAATATTTATTTCTTTGATAATCATTAAAAAATTGTCAATATACAAAAAAAAAAGAATTTACCAAAATAAATAATAATAAAACATCCTGACACTAAATACATCTCTATATTATAATATGTCATTCATAAGAAGAAGAAAAAAAGTCCACACAAGACATGTACGAAAAATAAATAAAATGTTTTCTATGTTCTAATTCTTTTGATTTTTTTATATTATTGTATATTTTTTATATTTATTTATTTTTCTGGAATATACCAGCCCAAACAATTCACAACCTATATATTTAATTAAAATAACTATTTCAAACTAGAGTATTTTTATGCCATATTCTTTAATAGTATTTTTAGCTATTTTTTTAATGGAACATTTTTCAAAATTTTCAATAACTTCTTTGATTATATATCCTATTATTCACTAAAATATATATAATTTTCATTTTTTTCTAAATAGAATTTAATATTATTTTATAAAAAGAATACCACTTTTTGGTGTCCACAATTTATTTTTTCAATTTTATCCTTTAGTTAACTAAAAAAAATAACTATACATGACTTAAAAGAGCTACTCATTAATTAACTATTAAAAAAATGGCTATTCTCTTGAAGGCATAAAGTACTTTTCATCTTATTAGTTATCAATAATAATCTTCTTTATATTCCTCTTTATCAATAAAAACAATAGTGTTTCTAGAAAATTTTCTTAACTTTTATCTCTTTTAATTTATGATTCTCATTTTTATTTATCATTTGAATTTCAATATTTATAAATTTATGTATTATGATATAAATTTTTTTGTCAATGAACATTGTTTTAATTTTATTAATCATAAAATTAAAATATAAATTATGCAAAATTAAAAAATATTTATTGATTATGATTATAATTTTAATATAATTTTTTATTGTCTAAAATAAAAACAATCCACAAATTAAAATACTCATTTAAGTATTAAATCCATATAATAACTCAAAGCAAATACCCCCAGAAAACATGGAAAATTGTTGTAAAATCCAGATGTATAGATAGCCCGACTTGTTATGCCCAAACCAAATTTAACAGGCCGCGCAATTTTGTATTACAGTCAGACGGCCCAAAGTTTAGATGGACTAAATAATATATATTAGGGTTAGACAGTTAACTCAAATTATTAAGGCATTCAACCCGAATTAGGCTAAGAACCAGACCCATAAATAATCAACTAACCTGAATTAGAGTAAACTAATTAAAATCAACTCAATATCGTTAAGATAAAATAAGAAGGAATGGTAAGGGAACATATATAAGGGTGGAAATATAAAGGATGCCCAACATGAATTTATGTGCTAACTTTCATACATAAAGTCTAAGTCAGACTATTTTTTTGAAATCAATGACCATCTCCATAATATTCCAACGTTTTTTTAAAGTATACATTTTATCATAACTAAAAGATATTGGGACTCGGACATTATAATTACTAGCATTTTTATCTATACAATGGACAAATAAAATTTTATTATATATAATTAAAATTTAAAATAAATTATGTATGTAAATAAATATTATTTAAATAAATAAATTGTATTTAAAATTTGAGTAAGTAGATATTTTTAAATATATAAATTATATTTCATGATAAATAATTTATATTGCAACGAATATTATTTTTGTTTAATGATAATTTATTTTAAAAATATTAAAAAATTTAATTTATTAATAAATATGATAAATAAAGATTGAATTAGATATGAAGTTGAAAGAATTTTTGAAAACTCTCTCATTGAAGAAGACCTCTTAAACACTCTCATATGAAATAGTCATTTGTGTTTTATATATAAGGGTTAATTTTTGTATTTTTTTCATATGTAATCTTTTATTAATTTTCTAAAAGTTAGGAATGATTAGATAGGATAAAATATTAAACAATGACCATGAAACATTGATTTTTTAACTATGCAACTGCATAGACCTTCTTCTTTTTCTAAACCTTCTTCTTCTTCATCTATGTTATTAATTATGCAAACACCTCATGATAGATGAAAATTAAAGAACTAGATACTAGGTTAACTCTAAGAAAGGTATTCCATTCATAATCTATCAGTACATATTTCCTCCCTCTCTATAAAGAAAATAAAGATACAAATGGATCTAAGTTGTACAAGTATAAGGACCAGAGAATTATTGAATTAAAATAACATAAGAAAATTGGGTAGCTAATATTTGGACTGACTTAAACATAGTTGTCCATCTACTTTGATGTCTTAGTGTTACGTTTGGATTTCTGGTATAGGCCTGACCCTGTATCACCTTATTTTGAACGCAAATGAGGAAGAGAGAAACATTCGAAAAAAAAAAAAAGAAAGAAGAAGAAAACCGAGTAAGTTTCTTGTTTTGAAAAGGAAAAGAGGGTAAATTAGATCATCTTGTTTTTCTATCTCTTGAAAAAAAAAAAAAGTACTCAAAGAATAGAGAGAGGAAGACCGGTCATAGAAAAATGAAGGAAAAAAATAGAGGGAGAAAT